GTAAAACTAGAGATGCCGAATCATTTAAATATAAAGTTATATAATTATTAAATTAAATAAATTAACACGTAGTTTGAAGTAAATCTTTTAATACCATGTCATTATTAATTAAATTACCTGTGTTAATCATCTTCGCATGTGACACAATCAGTTAAAACAGAAGATATGGCAGTTACAAGAAGTATCTTTCAACATCGGATTGGAGATTTAACGTCTCAAATAAGAAATGGACGCGATACGAACAATACTCAAAGGATTCTGTATACGGGAACAACAGTGAGCTGGAATAAATCATCAGCTATGCACATTCCAATCGTCTGGGACTACAGGAAATTGTTATAAGTAGAAATCAGCAGAAGAATGAAGGCAACATGGACCAGCTTTAATCGTATTAAAACATCACTTCTCCACGGCAAGCTATTCATGTCGGTGAAGATGGAAATGATCACTTCGAATCTGAGAACTGAAAAGAATAAACTGATGGCCATGCAATGCACGATGGAGCAAAGAATGTAAAAGGTCTTCTTCAAGGATTACGTTATGAGCGCACAAATTCGACAGTTTAGCGGAAAAACAGATCGTAATTTTTACCTTATATGACTTCAAGAGAAGATGGCCGGACATGTACTTCGTCTGAGAGACAACCGGCTGACGTAAAGAATTATGATCCGGTTTCTGCTAGAGACCACCAATGTCAAATTGGTGGTCCCAGTACATAATGGGATGTACGGATAGTCAAATTACTCGGTCAGCAGTGGAGGCAGAAAGCGGAAAATAAAAGATATTGGAGGGGCATCGAACTGTTTTCATGGTGCCCTTATAACGAGAACATGCCGGATTAGGGAGAATGGGTATTAATCATCTGAAATCTAATTTAGTAAAACAGGTCAAATTTCATTGCTAAATACCAGAATGATTAGTATGAGTCACGTTAAGCCTTTAGAAACAAGCACGTATACGATGAGAAAATCTATGCAAATGATTTACAGTAATAATGTAATCAATGCTTAAATTAGAATAAATTTATTCAATATGCTACCTCATCTAAACAATAACTGCTTAATTTATCAAAAATCGGATTTAACGGTGTAGGGCAGTTTTTTGCTCCTTGCTGCTAAGGAGGACATAAGCAAGCAATAGCTCCATGATATCTGAGAACCTACAATGGTAAGTGCTGTCAGCATTATCACTGAATTTAAGTTATAAAATTTAGTTGCAAAATTCATTCTCTTTCAAACCTAGACAAACTATTATGGGCACCATCGCCAGGTGACCATTGGTATTGGTAATAACCAAGTAACAATAGGCCATGGAAAGAAAGTCTGATTTGTGTCATACTGGAAGAACACCAACATCGGCTAAGTCGAAACCTCGTATCGTACTCCGTTATAAGCTAAAGTCAGGGTCGCTCACTTACTTGACTTAGTAGATGCCGCAACGGTAGGTTACGATATCTCCTCACTTCTAGTCATCATTTGCCATTGCTTCTTGCTATGACTGCATGAATATCCTCTAGTCAGAAAAGACACCGTTAATTTTATCATATACTGGACTTTCGCTCTTGCAAAACTCAACCGGATTTTTCCAATGTATAACGTGGCATAGTAAAGCAAATACTAATCCGCTATCGTTTTTAATGACATATCAATATTTTGTTTCAGACTGGCCTTTTTTAAGGCTTCGTGATTTCCATAGCTATTTGCATTGTATTTGCAGGTCTGGGGACAGAGACGTCGGTATTCTGCGAGAAACAGTCGTAATGATCGTCGAGCAAGGGAGAGAACGCAACAACAGAACACAGAATTGCCCCGATGTTATGGCGACAGCTCTGATCATCCGGTGTGAAAAAACCTTTCACGAAACAAGTGCAGGTCTTACGTAACGTCATAATCCGACACCTTTCCAATATTATACCAACAACAGAAAAATATCATAAGGACACTGATGAAGCCAAAATGAACCGCAAAAGCGTTAAATAATAATCAGGAAATCAGCCAATTAATGATCCTCAAGTCTTTCTTTTATCCTACAATACATGCTGCACTGCAGTTGGACTGAAAAGCAGCCGCTTATACATTTCTTCGCTATGGCGATTAAAACATTGACTTGAAATAAAGTCGTCTTACCGTGGAGGGTTATCATTAACGTCCAGAATGTGGACGCTGACCGTCGCGACCGAGCTTTGCGGTGGCCATCCGGAATCGATCGCTTGCACTAGCAGATTGTAGCGATCGATCATCTCGCGATCCAGCAGCGACGTCGTAAAGATAATACCCAAGTCGTTGACCGCGAATTCGTCTACCGGCGTGATCAATGTATAGTGTACGCGACCATTGTGGCCAATGTCCATGTCCCGTGTCGACAGTTGTAGCACCTTGTGACCAATCGGTACATTTTCGAACACCTTCGTCACGTAGACGGCTCTGTCGAACCAAGGTTTCTGGTCATTACTATCGGTGACCATCACGTCGATTGTTTTACGAGCCGTTTTAGGTGGCAGACCCGCATCGCTAGCCATCACCACTACGC